ACTCTTCATGTACTTGAGAAGTTTCCAAAATGGGCATCGGTGTTCAAGTTTGAGAGACAAATGATGAAGAAGGAAAAAAAGACAAATTTGAACACTACAAGTAATGTTTTTAGGTAACATCAAAACAAGTCAATCTGTACATATGTCAACAAAATATCATGTCACCGATGGGAGGCACACTCCGTTTTATTTTGTTTCAAATTCCAAGCACTGACTTTAGAACTGAAATCTATACCAACCAGAAACGAATCTAATTTGTTGGGGCTATATACACACGAATTGTCATTTTAAGTCATTTTCATTCAGTTATAGAATTAAATCACACATACAAGTACTTCTGTCCATATTATGTTTAGAATACTTTTGGTGACTAGTAGAATTCTTCAAATAACTAGAAACACATTCACTAATAGAAAAAATTCCCAGTGACAGCACCCTCTATAACTTGATCAACTTCCAGCCATGAGGGCGCTATCACAAAGTGAATGAGGTACCTGCATGGTGGTGTGAAGAAAGAATTATACTACAGTCAAGAGGTAAAAGAATGAGATTATTTATACTCTGCATATCAATACAAAATTAAACACTCAAAACCTGAAAGCGGACATGCAACATATTTTGTAGCACCAGTGACAATATATGTTACTATAAGTAATAAAATTTACTAAAAATCCTGAACACCTTGACCCCCATAAAGTGGGATCAATATCAACAAGTGGCATGCTGATAAATATGCATTTATTTTACCCACAATGCTCTCTTTTAGTGAGAGCACAAACGCTAGTTTTGCTATAGTCAAGAATGAACATAAAATATTGACTTTAACTTCTTGAAATATTCATTGATGCTTCTTAATTAGGAATTAACTAGCTAAACCTTTTTTTTTTTTGTGTGTGCAACCTTCAATATCACCCTCTTTGTTTGTATGCGACCTATATCTCGTGCAAGGGTAGCACAATAACCAGCTCCATATACTTTTACATTGACTCGACCAGATGAGGGTTAAACTTCTATTTGACCTCGGCGAGTCTAATTAACCATACTGTGCATGTCCCCACTGCACATGTCTAATTGGTGCTACTGTGCATATATCTCTATTGGAAGCTGTTTGCCTCTCAGCAGCTGTTTCGTTCTCTAGGCAGCCCATGTGACGTCATTGACCTCAAGTTGACCTTGTTGATCCCAATTTCACCTCAAGGTGGTCCTTTTGTTCTCAAAATGTAACAATTTGGATAACTTACCTGTGTAACAGAATAAGTAAATGCTACAAATGTTGTGACAATAAGTACTCTTTTGATGCTTGATTTGCTATCTAGATGTCCAAAAGCCAAGCCAAAAATAAGTACACTCAGTTCAGTAGCAAGGAGAAAAAACTTCAACACAAGCCATAATATCTGAAATTCAATGGAAATAATAGTGACATTAAATTAAAGAATTATGAGCTGTGTTCTTTGTCAATTTTATTTTTATTTTATTAATACAAATAATACTGAGCTCATAAGAACATTGTGGTACCAAATGAATATACATGAAATGTTAGGAAATATAGGATATATACATGTACATGCAAATAGCACCTAGACAGCTAAAAAATGTTTTTTTGTCTCAACACTTTGGTTATTGCTATTGCATGTTATTGTCATCAAGATTTGCTATGTTACATGACAGGTGTTTACTCATTTGACAGTTGAAAGGTAATTTTGGCTTGTATGAATTAATAAAATAAATTGACCAAAAACGCAACTCATGATCGTCTTATATATGCAGTTGAGTCGAAGTACTTATACAAAAGATGATTTGATTTGTTGAAAAAGCCTGTCAACAAACAAGCTGCTTTCGGATTGGCTAGATTGTTGGGTGTAAGGGTTGTGTAGCTAATGAGACAACACTGTAAGTCACTTTGACACGACTCCTTATATGAAGCAAAATTAAGCACTTCAATTGATTAAATTTATATCATGTGCACAGATGATTAAACTCAATTACATTTAGGGTTAGAGTCAACATGGTGTTGAATGTTGTCAATAACACGTGGAGTGAGATTTTTGTAGCTGTCAAAGTGTTAATATTATTTTAATGATTAAGTCCTGCATAAATCTAACAGAACTTATCGATGCTTCCAAAAAAAAATGGTGATCTCAGTTCCACTTTGATCAGCCACCATAATCGTCATGCGTGTTCTCCATCTCTTTTTTTTGGTTGCAAAAAAGGCCATAAAGGTCAGTGATACCGGTAATCATATCCTGCATGATTTGTGTTGATAAATAATGATTTTCCTACAACCGAATGCACTCTCAATAGCAAGCATGAATACAAGTTTTGATCTAGTCGCAAAGTGCACTAAATATGAACTTTGACTTTTTGGTGTACTCTAATCATCCAAAGAATCACTTTAAATTAGTTAAAATTTAGTTGTGTCTCTTTTTTGTACACATTGGTTTGTACAACAACCAAAGTAACCATCTTGGTTACAAGCATGACACAACGACCACCCGTTTTACCGGTAGTAACAAGATCAAATGCTTTTTACACTGAAATGACAAATCTTCGCAAATGCCAAGGCATAATGTTCAGCTGTTTGACCAGTTGCATCGGAGTGCACAAATTAGCGATATCCCTCAGTTATATATCATTCCTTGGTTATGTTTTACATAAAACATGAATTACTGGTTACCAGTACCATCATGGAATTAAATATAGAGATGAAAAAAATTATCGAGTTTCATGTGTAAAGTACAAAGGAACACAAACCTTGTCAATATCAGAGCCAACATCAGTTGCTGCATTCACTGTCATTGAAACAACACATCGTATTACACTGATAACAGCTACAAGAAACACCTGAAAAATAATACATAAATCAAGTTCAGTGACAGCCAATAGTGGCCAATAAGAGTGGGATACGAGTAGAAATTAATGACACATAACCACAATTTAACACAGTACTGGTACTTCATAATTCATTCGGTGTTAATTGACATTTAGCCAACTTAAAGCCGACTTTGCTTGTGAGGTCACAGGACCATAATTGGTTATTAAATATATTATTAAATATCAGAACTAGTTTCGTCTTCAATAAAGAACTGGTTGATGTCTGTATCTGCAATACTGCTCCAGATATTATATTTATGCATTTTTAATGACCATATAATAATATTATTTGAATATTGATCTTGTCTAGTGCGCAATGTCTTCAATAAAGCACTGGTTAAATGTCTCTAACCATCAGAAAGTAACAGGCTGTGTAACCTTTTGCAGACATGTATAAGGGCTGTTCAGTGAATGTACCTGTAGTGCTCACAAAAAATATCAAAGGAAAATCAAAATCTGTATTTGAATATACATTTACATATGCAAGAATGAGTAGCACCTTCAGTAAATTTGCATTTTGAAAACCACACAATACTGATATCTCTGTGTGGATTCTATATTTAAGTTGTGAGAGTTTATGAGAGAGGCAGTTTATTTACCGTATTCAGTGTATTTGTGATGTCTAAATAACATGTACATGTATATATACATATAATGATAACTTTATTACAGAAACTCAAGTTTATACATAAAGTATTTTTGTATATTGTCCCCAAATACTCATCATTGCATGATAATAAAATATCTATGTCATGATAGGATGTTTACAGTTTCATTTCACATCTACCAGACAGTCTTTTTATAATTACGCAATTTGTCGAGTCAACTGACTGGAATGTTTAAATAAATTATATATACTGTTTTGTCTAAATTTACAAGTTTCACTTTTCCTTTTTTAATTCACTGATTCTATTCTGATTCTGGAAAGCACCATTACAATGTGTACAGTGCTATGGAATGTCTGATAAACTTTGGTCACACTAGTGATTCGAGTTTCCCCATCAACATGCAATCATATGGCAAAGTTTTGGGAATCAAAATTAAAACTTACTTACCAGAATGTAAAACAATGTAAATATTGGACTGTCTGAGTGTTTTAATTTACCATAAGCTTGCTTCAATGTCAGTAGTAAGAAAAGAAGAAATAATGTGTTCGGAATTACGAGGGCAACGTCCCATGCTCGAACCCTGAAAGTGAAAGCAAACCAAAATGACGCATGTTCAATTCTCAAAGTATACAACCATATGTTACAACAGCATCCAAGAAAGAACATTTAAATGTGGTTTTAATAACGAAAAATACCATATTTACTCTATTAGATGTGCATCACTGTCTGTATTTACACATTCATGCCCATTCTTTAGCATTATACATTGATTCACTGTTCAATTTTGTTGGGTTTATTGAGGGAACACTGATATTTTTTTCACTTAATTATTCACAAACCCTGCAGCCACAAAATAGGATGAATTAACTTGCCCTGAATTGTTCACATCTTCATACAATATCCAAAGACAGGGATGAAGAGAGTTGTTGCCAACAGATATGGTTGCAGGTGAATAGGCATCAGCAGTGGTAGGGGGGAGTGAGGTTGTCCATAATGCGCTACTGTTAATTGTCTCATTTGGAGCAACAGTTGATGGAAAAATAGCTGGTTTGTTAGCTATGATGTAGTCTACCATCGTGAGTATTGGATGATTTCATTTCTTAATGGAGAGTCAACTATATGGTCATCAATGCTGTTCCTTCACATCTCAAATACCTGTTTGGGGAGAATAATCACAATAGAGTTATAACTGTATGCAACATAAAATAATATACAGAGAAACATTAAATTTTAAAAGCACTGTTACATCATACTTAAAAAATATTTCATTTGAAAGCAGTTTTATGAATATTTTATAAGTTATCTTTCAGGGACATGTACAGTGCAATGTAGATTACATCAAGCATTTTTTAATACCTAACTATGTAAGACATATGGCATCATGAAGGTATTATACCGAGTGTTAGAGCTGATTCTTACTCCACTCCCACACTACTAAAAGTACTAGCCCTACTGACGTACGCCTGTGAGTTTGTACAATAGACCGTATGGTTTGTGTTAGTAAACAACCGAAATCACGCCATGCTGAAGAAACAAAACAAACAACCCGCCCATATTTCACGTAGACGATTTAGGTGGGTATGATGACAATAACTACTGGTCTATTTGGCGTAATTTAGTGTCTAAACCTCTATTAGTAGAACTACAATTATGTTGACGTTTCGAAACGTCACTGCACATAAATCCAGCATGAACTGCATTTTCAACGCAAAAACGTAATGTGATAATTTCATTTTCGAATAAACGGGTCGATAAGATATGCATTACAAATAATAAATTGAAACAAAATATTGCATATATGCAACACACCTACCCTGATATTACCAGGTAAACAACGTATGGTTCAATAAGTAACAAAATGGTATTTGTTGTGTTTAGTACACAGCACAAGTCGCCTGACCGAAACCTCGTCTTTCACGTCAAACTTCCTTACAGGAAGTGACATCACGGCGTAGTAATTACATCAACAACATTTTGACGAACCACAGTGATATTCATGCGCGAAAATACACTTCGTCACTAGAAAGCATGCCTTGACAAATTTGTGGATGTTTCAATAAAATAACATTTTTTCAGCTTATATTTGTGTAAATAAAAAGAAATCCAAGAGAAACATTACTGTTTTTTTACGAACTATTTGCTCCATCATTTACCTCCAACCTCTGACCTTAGTTTCCCGCGCTTTTTGATCACGAGTTGCGGCATAACCTTCACAACAAAAACTGAGAGGTCGACGCTATACTTTTGACTATGGCGGTAAGTGGCGACGATTTTCATTGTTTTTAATTCACATGCCGATTTAATATTCTTCCATTTGATCAAACATTCATGTAACCATTTCTTCAGTTATTTTGAGCATTATAAGTTGATTATTATTAGCTACAGATCTGGAGATTTAATTTTTTAAATGCTCTGTATAATGATTTCCCCATGTGATCACTGAGCTTTCGGAAAGCAATCGCGGTATAGTTGAAAAGGGTGTCTGAAATTCTCTTTCTTTACTTGAGTGTCAAAATAGTCGTCAGCTCTGCACAACGATTATGGTTGTTATAAAACTTCCTACAAATCATAGCAACTAGTACACATGTACTGACAGTTCTTTTGATGATTTGAATAGTAGTTGAATATTCATGAGTATGTGTTGATGCATGCACTTGTATATTACTTTTACCTTGTGTTTTTTAATTCAAAGAAACGATCACGACTTTAGACATTATATTCCAAAATTCTGTTATTTTGAGAATAAAATCTATAATGTAAAATCGTACTGCCTAATTATCATCATACCCAGCTGAGCCGTTTATAGTATTTATAATACTTTTATTTATGGTGTTAGCTGTATTAGAAGCACTGGTATAAATCAACAGTTGCATGTAATGTATGATGAATGATTAAAATTTTACGTACTTTAACCATGGAGCTGAAATAGATTTCCATGCTTTAACCATATACACACATTCATAATTTGCAGTGTGTGCTACTAATAGAGGAAGTATGGTACTGGTTTACAATATACATATGATTGAAGGCTTTTTACAAAAACAAACTTTTGTGATGATTTAATTTTAATCTCGCTGATGTAAATTTCAAATGAAAACTGAATTACCCCCAAAATACACATCTTCGTTGATAATGTGTTGTCAAAATCTGACAATATTTTTTACAGAAATTATTTTCTTAAATAATGCCTGGCAGAGCTCCAGAAGGAGTACCTACACTTTATGCAAATTTTTTTTTAAATTATGCTAATTTATTCATGACGTAGCAGTTTCTGTGCTCATGAATATTCATTAATTTGTGGGTCAATACATTTTTAAAGGGGCGATATATTATTTTGGGGGGAAGAGTTAGAAAGGGGGATTAGCAATCCTTAGGGGGTCAATACAAAAGAAGGGACCCATTTGGAGAGCAGCCATGCTCCTCGTGTCTGTTGTTGCACGTGACCTACAGCTGTCAACTGTGTTCGTTCTTCGACGACTTCGACTGGCTTCCATGTGGGGTAGTATTCTTGTGTTCTGTTTGACTTGAGTTTTTGAATCCGCTGTTTATGTTTTTAACGTCTTTCATGTCTTTTGTAGGAGTGTCCAATCCGTGATTCGAACTTGCGATCTTTGAGTTCCCAGCGCACTGTCTTGTCCTCTGTACCACGAGTGTCTTCACACAGGAGTTAGGATTTAAGTCCTATTCATAGGAGCACTGTCTTCACTAGCATTCAAAAATCTAACTAAGCATACTGGATTCGAACCACCGATCGCTCACATTGCTGACATAGTACAAATCAACTGAGCTATGTGGGTAGTAATGCAAATTAAATAATTTGTTGTCATATTTAGCTTTATTGCCAAATGGCGTTGCGAGAAAAAGATGGGCAGGCAAGGAATAGAACCCAGGTCCTCCGGATCACTATGCAGAGAACTGACCCACAGACCACATTGGATTGACTGG